AAGGAAGGTTGGCACTGCATAGAGCAGGGTTTAGGGCTGTTGTACATAGGGTCGCTATGAGTTGCAGGAAACTCAACAGCACATAACAACAACACCACTTATGCAGTAAGTATACAGTGAAATCAAAAGGGAAAAAAAAGCTTTCCATCTCAAAAAGCAGCTTATACCATCTAAATTTCTTTTCTTTGTTGACCCTGCTGGCATTTGAAATACCACTGGCCTAGCTTCTAACATCACAACAACATGTAGGCCTCTACATTATGAAAAAATGACAAATGAAGAAAAATATTAAATTGATAGGGACTTAATTTTACTTGAATCCACAAGCATGACCCATGGAGACAGTAGTCAAGAAATGAAATAACATAGTGCATTGAGAACAATATGCTGCAAGACTTTTTTTAAAGTCTTCGAGAGCAAAGGGTGTCACTATGACGAGTAAGGCATGTCCGACCCAAGCCATGGTATTTACATTTGTCCCATATATACGTGAAAGTCAGACAAATAGCCAGCAAGGCTGAGGAACGTCACACATTGAATTATGGTGTTGATAAAGAAAAACAAATTTGTTTGGGAAGAAGTACAGCCAGAATACTCTTTGGAAGTTAAGATTGGTAATACTTCATTCCCTATGCTTTGGATATGTTATCAAGGAGTCCTTGGGGAAAGACACCATTTTTGGTTAAAGTGAACTTCAAAAATGAGGAAGTCCAACAAGCTGACATAACCACTGTGACAAGTTCAAATATAGCAAGGACTGTAAGGATGGCCGAGGACCAAGCAGTGTTTACATCACAGTACATGGGATCACTATGAATCAGAACCTGTACTATGATGCCTAACAGCAACAAAATTCTTTTTAACATGTTGCTGCACACTTTTAAATTGAGACCTTGCTTACAAACACTTAGAAACATATTTATAGCCATCATTTGAAGCAACGTGTTAAGGAGTCCTTGTGGTATAGCAGTTAAGTGCTTAACCACAAGGTTGGAGGTTCAAATCCATCAGCCACTCCGTGGCAAAACAAAAATAAAAAAATAATTAAGATTTGGAAGTATGTTGCTATAGGCATTACAACATAGAAACCCTACAAGGCTCCTACCTTTCAGAATACATGCCACAGCTGCAAATTTAGGTGTTGAAATTAATTTTAAACCACATGAAACACACTACATGAAAAGGCAAAACAAAGAACCATTTAAGTCTTTTAGTAAAAATTTAGTTGCTTCTTCTTGTTACGGGCTGTTGCGTCACCTGCAACCCATAGTGACCCTATGTGCAGCAGCGGTGAAGCCTGCCCTGGAGCCAGTTTCACTGACTCCAAAAGACCTGCCTTCATTGTCCTGGTCACTGTGTCAATCCATTTCATCTGGGGTCTTCCTCTCCTGTGCTGTCCCTCCACCCTTACGAGAATGATGTCCTTCTCCAAGGATCGATTCCTCCTGGCCACATGCCAAAAGTATGTGATATGGAGCTTCAAAATCCTAGCCTCCAAGGAGAAACTTGTTTTCATCCTTTCCAAGACAAATTTATTTGTTTTCTTGGTGGTTCATGGTATGTTCAGTACTCTTCTCCAGCACCACAAGTCAACGGCATCAATTCTTCTGTCTTCCTTAATCATTGTCCAGCTCTCTGATACATAGCAAGTAATTGCAAAGACTTGGCCTGGATCAGGCACCCCTTAGTCTCTAGACTAATATCGTTGCTACTCAGTACTCTGGAGAGGTCCCTGATAGCAGATTTACCTAATGCAATTCATCTCTTGATTTCCTGACTGCTAGTACCAAGAATTTTGATTGTGGAGCCGAGCAAGTTGTAACTGTTAACATCAATCTCTTCATCCATCATGGTGCTGCCAAGTGGCCCAATGGTGAGAACTTTTGGCTTCTTGATGTTGAGTTTCAATCCATGAAGATGAACTTAATTAGCTAAACTATTTAATAGTTGAATTTTTTTTAAAAATTGCATTTTATGTACATTGTAAAACTGCAATAAAGAATTACAAACTTAAAAAAAACCTCTATAGACTAAAACTATTTAAAAAAAATATCTGCTGGAGGGTTAGCTTTGAGTTGGTTCTGCCTCAATAATACATAACAACTCTGCCATCAAAGAAGAAACTCGGCAAAGAAAATGTTAGGCATTCCTAAGGCTGTACAGTGGCAGACAGAGGATTGTAAACGGAGGTCTCATTCCCAAGTAGCACATTTCCTGGTGATGAAATTTGAAATATTATTTTGTATTCAAATTATAATTTCCTTTTCCAAAAAGCATAGTATGCTGAAAACAATTATTCCTTTATAAATCTAGATTATGAAATTATTAGCAATTTCTCATCATAGTCTCATGCAAGTTAATAATTAACAGTTTGGAGAGAATCAAAGACTAGATTTTCACTTATCAGAAGCACTTGTAAATTTTGGAGCAGAAAGAGACAGTAACTTCCCTTGAGACAGCTTTTCCTTTACCTCAGGAGATCAAGGCTCTAGGCTAATTAAACATATGTGGCACTTTCCCTTCCTCCCACCAGGAGATAGATTCTTGTTTCTGAAGTTTTGCTCTTTATAGAGGTTTCTGGGGTCTGAACTTAAACTTTAGATTCCTTCTACATTGTCTACATGGTCAAAATAGGCTCATCAAGACAGTGAAACTTCAGTTTTTATTTCACAAACTTGAAATGTCACAAATTATATCATTTGTTTGCATAAAAAGGGAAACTAGTGCTGACCTGTCAGGAAACCTTGACCTGTCCAAGTTTGGCCAGCAAATTCCACTGGAGTCAATGAACTTTTCCGAGGTGTGTCTGACTGTTGAAAAGAAAATAAAATGGTGAAATGCTTCCCCCACCACTCCTTCAACCCCATGTTTTCTTTTTCCCCCCCTAAGGTCTCGGTGTAATTCTAGAGCTTCCTGATTGATACACATCAACTTTGGATTCAGCTAATACATGCCATCACGTCATTGACCAGCACCATATTTTCTAAAATTGAACTCATACCAGAGGACCTACCCGAAATGTTTGGGTTGTGCTGGGCCTTGAAAATTGGTCAACCAGGATAGTTCTTTCTCTGAGAGGCGAGCGTTCTGTACTGTCAGGTATTGCACTTAACACACGCATTTGTTGATTCCGTCCTCTGTACTAAATGAACAAAAACATATTCTTGTTGAAAAGAAATGTAACTCTTAAAAAGACACAAAAAATATCTACATATGATTCGATCATACATTAATTTATTCATTCCCTCACTTATTTGAGAACATATCTTTAGATACTGCAAAGGTGGTGTAGTCAGAAGGGTGCAGCACTGCTGACTCAAAGGCAGCACCTCTCTTACTACCTGAACTCTGACTACAAGGAACTGTGTGGGAACTGTGAGAAAGATGGGCAGTCTCCTCCAGTGTGACTTAAAATCTCAGTAACCTCCTCGAGGTCAACCCTAAGTTGATTCTGGCTCAACAACAATGAGCTTGTGGGTTTTTTTAAAAGTAGATGGTAAACTTTCAATCTATATGCAGAACAGATTATTCAAGAGGCTGGACTCTATGAGGAGAAGTATGGCATCAGGATAGGAGGAAGGTTCATAAACAACCTGTGTTATGCAGATGACACAACTCTGCTTGCTGAAACCGAGGAGAGCCTGAAGTGCTTGTTGCAGAAGATCAACAGACTATAGCCTTCAATATGGATTGAAGCTCAACATCAAGAAAACAAAGATTCTCACCACAGGGCTGATTGGCAGCATCAGGATAGATGGTGAAGAGACTGAGATTGTTGACAGCTTCAGTTTGCTTGGCTCTACCATCAACACTCTTGGTACCGGTAGCCAGGAAATTAAAAGACAAGTTGCATTTGGAAAGTCTGCTGTCAGAGACCTCTCCAAAGTACTAAAGAGCAACACTGTCAGTCTGGAGACTAAGGTGCACCTGATACAGGCCATGGTCTCTGCAATTACTAGAGAAGGACAATGATAATGGATGCTAGAAGAGAGTTGATGCGCTTGAGCTGTGATGCTGGAGAAGAGTATTGAATATACCATGCACTGCTAGGAGAGGGTGAGTGAGGCTGCTCCTTGGAGGCAAGGATTCTGAAGCTTCGTCTGACATACTTTGCACATATTGCAAGACAGTCCTTGGAGAGGGACATCATGCTTGGGAGGGTGGAGGAACAGCGCAGAAGAGGGGGACCCTCAATGAGATGGATTGATTAAGTCACTGGGGTATTGAAGTTAGGTGTGTTGGAAATGGTGGGACTGGCAAGATATAGAGCAAGGTTTAGGGCTGTTGTACCCGGGGTCACTATGAGTCACAGGTGACTCGACAGCACCTAACAATAACAACAACAACATGGTAAACTAAGAACAAATACATAAATATATTTTAATTTTAAAATGCATTATTGACCCTGATAAGAAAGCAGTGCTACAAATATGTAAACTCCAGATTCATTGCTGTTTAGTTGATTCTGACCCAAAATAACCCTCTATTGAGTTTCTGAGGCTATAAACCTTTATGGGAAGAGACTGCATTTCTCTCATAGAACACTTGGTGGATTCAAATTTTTAACCTCTAGGTTAGCAGTCCAATATGTAAGAAACTAGGCCAAGCTTAATGTAATTTTCAAACCTGAATTGTAAGAGAAATGCAATTCTACACTTGTAATTTAGACTCCTTTTAGGTGATGTTGACCTTCTTTTTTTATTTTACTCCAAAGAACAACCGGGTGGTCTATTGGGAAGAAGCTGCACTGCAATCCCAAAAGCACACAGTTTGCATCCACCAGGTGTTCAGTGGAAGAACCAGGGACAATCTCCTCTTGTATGATTTACTGTCTCTGAAAATCTGCTGGAGAGGCAACCATGAATCCGTTTCAATTCCACAGCACACAACAACAATAAAAAAGTAAATTATATTGAAGATAAACATTAATTCTTTGCTTCTTGTGTCTTCTGGGAACAGATCCTATTACTGTTAACAGTTTTCCCAAGCGGTGCTCAACCAGTGGCAAATGGAATACCAAAGAAAACTTTGCCGAAAGGGTAAGTATTACCTGTAGGCCTTTATAGTCCCTCACTTGGGGGCTTTCTTTGTTTTATTAAATACATTTAAGACACTTGTATTTCAGTTAAGTGAACTGTCGTTGCACATTTGAGGGAAACTCAGAAAACCCTACTAGATCAGTATCATAAATAAATTCTTCTGTCACTGCGTGGCTGAATTCTATCTGGATGAAGAAGATATTGCCACTACACTGTAATAAAGCTGGCAGGCTGCCTTTAAAGATAAGAGCTAATGAAAAAAATGACAAGAATAATTTACAAGTTCTTCATTTTTTCAGTTACTTAAAATGTATTGATTGTTGTTGTTATGTGCCGTCGAGTCGCTTGCGACTTATACTGACCCTATGCACAACAGCCCTAAACCCTGCTCTATCCTGTGCCAACCACACTGCCTCCAACACACCTATCCTGATTACCCCAGTCACAGAATCAATCCATCTCATAGAGGGTCTTCCCCTCCTGCGCCATCCCTCCACCCTCCCAAGCATGACGTCCCTCTCCAAGGACCCGTCCCTCCTGGCAACATGCCCAGAGTATGTCAGAAGAAGCCCCAGAATCCTTGCCTCCAAGGAGTTGCTTGGTTTAATCCTCTCCAGGATGAATCTGTTTTCTTGGCAGTCCATGGTACATTCAATACTCTTCTCCAGCACCACAGCTCAGAAGCATCAATTCTCCTTCTGTCCTCCCTAGTCACTGTCCAACTCTCTGATGCATAACAAGTGATTGCAAAGACCATGGCCTGTATCAGGTGCACCTTAGTCTCCAGAGAGACACCATTGCTCTTGAGTACTTTAGAGAGGTCATTAACAGCAGACTTTCCCATCACAATACGCTTTTTGATTTTCTGACTGCTGGTGCCAAGAGTGTTGACTGTGGAGCCGAGCAAACTGAAGCTGTGAACAATCTCAATCTCTTCACCATCCATCCTGACGCTGCCAATTGGTCCAGTGGTGAGAATCTTTGTCTTCTTGACATTGAGCCTCAGTCCATACTGAAGGCTGCAGTCCTTGACCCTCTGCAGCAAGTGCATGAGGTCCTCCTCAGTTTCAGCAAGCAGGGTTGTGTCATCTGCATAACGCAGATTGTTAATAGATCTTTAACCAATCCTGATGCCACAATTCTCCTCATACAGCCCAGCCTCCCAGATAATCTGCTCTGCATACATGTTGAAAAGGTATGGAGACAGGACACATCCCTGGCATACACCCTTCCCAATTTTGAACCATGCAGTGTTACCCTGCTCTGTTCTGACTACTGCCTCCTGGTCCAAGTATAGGTTTCGCCTTAGCACTATCAAATGTTCTGGGATTCCCATTCTTCTCAGCCACAGTTTGTTATGATTTCCTTTTCACAAATGAGAAAACTGATGGTCAGGGAGATTTGAGTAATTGGTATGAAATCATAAAATGTATATACGCCAGGACTCAACCATGGAGCTGCTTGCCTCCTGCCTTAACCATCATCTTTTCTTCACTACACTGTCCTGACCATCAGATACTTTCCCAACACCTGGCATTCTGATTTAATTTGTTTGTATTTCATAGAATAGTGACTTACACAAGATATTGACTTACAGGAGGCAGAATGGCAGTGTGACTATGACATCATTCTGTCATTACAGACTTTACCTGGAAATGCCAATATTATCCTGTATGTTTGTTTCCCAGCAGACTAGCTAAATGGTGCATAAAGTACAATGAAATCTGTCTTACAGAAACAGGGCGGGATCCAGGAACTGCAGCACTCTGTTCAATGGCCTCTGAATTGATTGGGGGTAACCTGCTTCGTAAGGTTTGAGCCGGGGAAGAAATGTGGTCTGTGCCAGTTTGCCTGTAAGAACAAAACCATGTAACTGAACCACCTAGGTGCAGAGAGAGACACACCTGCCCCAAAGTTTCTGATCTGGGTTATTAACAATGACCTGACTTCCAAAAGAAATGCTCAAGAAGAATGAGCTAAGTATTAAGAAGACAGATATAAGCAAGAGACCACCAGCCCAGATCTATTCTCTGAGTTGAGTGATAATTGTCAGTCTGGACTTTACCATGTGCCCAGTCATGCTCAGAATGGAATAGAACACAGAAGTAAAGACCTACTTCTTGCTCTTAAGGAGCTTATGACTATTGAAAACAGGATGTAAGTATAGTAAGTAACAAGAGAACAATATTACATATTATGTGATAAAACATGGTAGTATAAATTCTGAATGTAAGCACTGAATATAATTTCTGAAAGTAAGCAGATATTAGAGAATGAATGGCTCAACTAATAAGGAATAGGAAAAGCAAGGAAGGATCTAGAGAGATGAGGGGGAAAAATGAATAAGAAAAAAACCTGAAAGGATACTCTCACTCACTCATTGCCATCAAGTTGGAATGGGTTTTCCGAGGTTAGGAATCACACAGGAGAATGTCCATCTTACTCTGGCACAGCAGCTCATGGATTCAAACTGCCTACCTTTGGGTTAACAGTATCTACTAGATATTTCTTACCAACTAGGCCCCCAGAGCTCCACATAAGGAGTAAATTTTAATAAAAAAATAATGATAGAAGGCCTCCCCTTGTGAATATTATGATACAAAAGCTAAGGTGTCTGATTGTTATAGAAAAGCATAGATAGATATTCTGTAAACAGATTCCAATTTATTTATTAATAATAAATATATAAATACTAAAATATGATAATTTTGTCTGACAAAATAGTCAAAACTTTGAAATACATAAGGTATCTAAAAATCTATAGGCTCCAAGTGGAGAAGTAGTCTCACATACTTCCCGTGAGATTATAAATTATTATATCATACTGGAAAACAATTTGCGAAGGACATAAGAAGCCTTAAAATATTCACAATTTTGGTTTAATAGCTTGACTTCTAGAATTGTACCACCAGGAAATAATTTAATCATACCTTTATTATTATTATTTATATAAAATCATGTTTACTGCATATTTTAATATGGGTAAGATAAAGGAAAATAGTAATAGATAACTATCTAATGAATTACCATATACCCATATTATTATTTTGTAGTTATTAAAATTATGTTTTCAAAAGCATTTAACTACATGGAACATTTTAACAAATAATGGAAAGTTTATAAGGGAGTGACTATGGCCTAGTGGCAAGAAGCTGCACTGAAATCCTGAAGGCACGTGGTTCAAGCCCATCAACTGCTCTGAGGAAGAAATATGGGCAAACTACTCCCATAAGTTTAACAGCCTCTGAAAATCCACTGGGGGGTCAGCTATGGGTCAGTTCCAACATCATGGTACACAAAACCAAGAAAAATATCTTTTAAAAATGCTATTTTGTACAAGATCTTATCTTGGGGAACTCTGGTGGCCTAGTGGTAAATAGTTGCATTGGCAATCCAAAGGTACGAGGTTCAAATCTACTAGCTGTTACATGAGAGAAAGATGGAAAATCAGTCTCCTCTCATATGATTAACTGTCTGAAAACCCACTGGATGATCAGCTACTCAATAGTACACAATAATCTCTTACACAAGAGTAAGATTATGTAATTATTAAAAGTAAGGATAGAAAGAAAAAAAACTATAAAAAAAGACAATTAGGAAGACACACACATACACACATATAGTTGCTGGGTATACATTTCCTATTTTATGCCATAGGGACACATATAATCTTTGATTTTTATTCATGTTTTGGTATTATTCTAATGTTCTGTAGTGAACTTAACCAGTACTATTGTTGAACTCATGGTGGCCTCATTTGTATCAGGGTGACATGAGAGACAGGCATTGGAGTGATGTGTCTGCAAACTTAGGAACATAAAAGACTGCCAATAACCATGTGAAACCAGGAGATATAAGAATATACTCTCCCTTGGAGCCTTGGAGGGAATATGGCCCTGCTGACATATTTACCTCAGGCTCATAGCCTCCAGAATTGCCAGAGAATAAATTTCTGTTGCTTTAAACCACCAAGTTTTCATTAATTTGTTATAACAATGCTGGGGAGCTAATCCAAATACACTGTCTGATCTCTATCTTCTAATATATAGTTAAGTATACTATTGAAATGAAACTACCATACAAGACTCAGATTAATTAGAAAAAGGCTCTGCATATTATTGGAGGATATTTGGGCTATGATAATCCACAGATTCTATGACAAGTGCCTCTGTCTTTGCAACTTTCCATTTATCATGAGAGAAATGGGACTTACATTTTTTTTCTTTTTTTTTTTTAATTTAGGTTGTTATTTTTCATTTCAATGAACATCTACAGAGATTTTGGGATTCCATTCATTCATTGTTGC